GAATAGAACTGTGCGAAATAAGACGTGAGCACACCTGGGAAGATGAGCTATAGAGAGACATCACTGGCGCCATGCTCAGCATCCTGCCGAGGACAGGGTGACCCACTGATGTCTGCTTTCATTCAGTTCTACCTTTTCTCCCCTCCCAGCTCTTGCAGATTCTTGGCCTGTGCTGTTTCCCTAGGGATGTAGGCTCTTGGAAACTAAAGCCAGGAAACTAGAGGTTTTTCCCACTGTCCACCCGCCATACTTCTGCCTCTGTCCAGTGAACTGGGAGTATGGGAAAGGGATGGAATACCTGGAAGGCTTAATAAGGTGGTTAGCCCAGCCGGTGTGGCTCAGTGGTTGAGTATCAACCCCTGCACCAAGAGCTCGCTGGTTTGATTACCGGTCAGGGCACATGCCCAGGTTGTGGGCGCGATCCCTAGTGGGGGGCATGCAGGAGGCGGCCAGTGGATGTTCTCTCTCATCAATGTTTCTACCTCTCTGCCTTGGCCTTCCCCTCTCTTGTTCTCTAAAACAAACAAACAGAAAAGGTTGGTTAACATTTTATATATTTTCTCATCATAGATTTTTTTTTAAGAGTGGGAAAGAGCTAAATATGATCAAAATATTGTTTTTCTCTCCTATTTAAACATTTCTTATGCTACTATAATTTACACTCAAGAATTTTTCTGTTATGGTCAAGAATGATTTTTAAGTCACAGCTGTTTATATTAAAAGAAAGAAATATGCTGTTTTGACACATTGCTGTAAGTGGAGGAATTTATTTATATGATTTTTTTTTCTCTAGCTGAATCAACAATCTAAGGTTTCAAACAATGATCTCCTTTGAAGAAAAGTCATTACCGTAGTTTTTTTTTTTTTTTTTTTTCCCCAAGCATAGTTAGATGAGGAAGGTTACTTTCTGGCTACATTGAATAGACAGTAGCCAAGCAACTTATAACATTTTACTCCTGTTTTCTTAGTACAAGATGAAACTGCTAGTAAGGCTCTAACCAGGTCTTTATAACTATGTTGCACTTGACTCAACAAATTGGCAGGAAGTGTCAAGGGGTTTAACTACAAGATAAAAACTCTTAATCAGTGGCTTTGACTCAGATGCATTGCAGAAAAGGGTCCAGATCCCTCTGTGGTACTCAGAGCATAACCTTGGGCTGTTTTCAGCTGTTTTTACAGTGAAGACTCATCGGGAGGCTGACAGCATGAAGAGCAGCTGAAGCTTTATTTGTGTTTCAGCTCTAGTAGGCATGGTCGAAGTGGGTCGAGTCCAGAAGATGTAAATTCCTACCGGATGCAATAATGCAATAAGCCATAGGTCTCAAGTAGCATTGCTCAAGTGTTGACTTATTTGATAATGCTTCAAAAATTACATTTTTCATTACTGGCAACAGGATGGGGTGCGTTTTATCTTATGAGAAGACACACAGAAGGGTACACTCGATGCTGGCGTGGTGATGAAATTTTGTCAAAATGTAATTTCCTGCTACTAAATCTCGTGACAGGTGCTTCGTATTTCTGGGCTCCCATGTCATTCCCCAGGGATGTAACTAGAGATCATGTATCACAGGAGAGTCACCATTTGATATTTGCACAGCTTTTTTCCAAGGAAACGTTTTGCTTTTTTATGTCCAGTTTATGAGTGTTACTAATGAGGTTTTGGATTTGTGAAACATCATGGCAATATTTGCCTTGCGTGGTTGGTGTGAATCAGTTGGGGTGGGGGTTTGTATATATAAAGCACATTAAACATGTGTATACCTATGTCTCCCTTTTCCATGCATATCATAGTCTTTATCATTGCATTTTTGTCACTCAGCAGATGTTTGTTGAATTAAGTGACTGTGGGAGCCTAGTATGGGAATTGCTTTTTTTTTTTTTTTAAACAAATTCCTAAATTACACAAATGTATGATTTACATGTTTGCCTCTGTGCAAGCGAGTTCCTTTATTCAAGCACAGCCCTTCCTGACTACACGCGTGCAGAGGCAGGGATATCAGCAACTGGATTTAAGTCTGTAACGTTATGCAAGTTCCTTTCCAACAGACTCATCAGGGCGATTGTGAACAGCTCTGTTTGGGGAACTTGAGTTCTGGAGTCTTTGGGCTTTAGCTAATACCTCTCTGGGAACCGTTACCCAGCTTAACCAGCCTCTTCATTCACCATATTTGGCTCCCAGAAGTTTTTCGCTGTCTCCGAAGATCAAACGGGTCTTTCAAGGGCCAAGACGGATTGCTAGAGAGACCATTCAAAAGAATACCCCCGAGGCTGAGAAGATACTTGCAAAAGAGAGATGGGAACTGCAGAAAACATTCCAAAAATGCCCGCGCGTTGGCTGCACAATTGGAGTAAGAATGACCCCAAGGTGGTAGCAGTGAAAGACAGGTCTCACTGAGGGACTGTGCAAAATCCATGTCATTGCTCTAGCTGACCTTTATGTGCACACACACACACACGTACAACGATAAGCAGATGTGAACTTCAGACGTTCCCTGCAAATGTTTCCAGACCAATATTGCCTGTTTATAGCCCTCCCTTCCCAGTCCCTCCATGTCAGGAGTGACGTGCCAGGTGCTTTCGCTTTGGCATAGACTCCTGAGTTGGTACTGTAGGTACTGTTAGTGGCTCCGGTAGGTACCGTTAGTGGCTGAGACGTGTGTGGATCAGGATTCATGACAGAGGGCTTTGCACAGTAGATGCTAAGACATTGGCGGGAAGGGAGATGGTGGAATTGATATATCCTTTTGTGTCCTGCTCTTTGAACATACGTGCTGCTGGGAAATTACAAGGGTGGGTTCGGAGTGCCCCAAAGCAGCCAATTCCCACCGCCGGTGAAGCTGTCGATGTTTCTCTTCGCCTCGGGCTCCCCAACTCCTCCCTCCTGCACCCATGCAGGTCGGCCCACGTGATGACAAGACTGGATACAATTTGTTCCTGTGCTAAGCTGGTCACAGCCATTCTGGAGGAGAGCCAGATATCAAAGCAACACGTGACCTTCACTTGTCCTTCATTTCACACTCAGCAGTATGTAGGTCTGAGCCCTTTGATAAAACGTGGCCTTCCTGCCTCGCTCTAGGCCCAGTGCGGTGATCCTGTTAGTTAGTTAAGCTGTACCTCGATATTCTGGTGGGAACATTCTGACGGATCGCGGCATGAGTTCAGGAGAAATTTGAAACTACGAGATCTGTAGACCATTCTCGGGGGGTTTTGAGGGGATGGGTTAGCCTTTCATAGTAGAAACCACGCAGGCAATCCCATTGCTCTGGCAATTAGGGGGTACACCTGGGGTGCATTTTTGTTTTTATGTATTGTCTCTATGTCAAGTCTTTATATTTAGGGGCAGAGTTAACATCTTAAAATAAACAGAAATCTCCTCATAACACCAGAGTTCTCACTTGGTAAATTTCAACGTACCATTATGTACATGGTGAATGCGGACTGATCCCATCCAGGCCCTCCTTCAAGAGGAGAGAGAAGAAAAACAAAACGGTTCTATTGCTCAACAGTTGCATTGTGTGAGTGTAAGAATCTATCACTGTCCTTGCGCTGACATGGATGATCTCCACTGCACTTTGATCATACCACACAGCATGTCCTGGCTGTCCCTATATTTAGATAAAGGTGTCCTGACCTCAAGGCTTGTCACCAACGGCCCTGACCTGCATTTGTAGATTTAACTCCTACCCCTTTTCAGCCAGATGCCCTGGGCTCTCATCCCTCCGCCGGCCTGTCCGTGGCTGCGCTCCTGTTGCCCTGGGCCTTGTTGTGTTGTGTTGTGTTGTGTGCTGTCCTTGGAGTGTGCTTTGCCCCTCTCATTCATTCAGCTCCTAGTTAGTGAGTGTCTCTCGGCGCCAGCCCCTGTGCTGAGCTCTGGAGATACGACACAGAGATACAAGTCCGTGTTTCTACACCCCCAAAGTGTTTTCTTCTTCCAAACCAGGCCAAGTATGTCAGCCAGGTCCTTCCCTTCTCTTCCTAGCAACAACATCTGTCCTTCCTCCATGCACCTCGAGCTTCCTTCTCGCGTGTCTGTCGACGGAATTCCCCCGTTTCTCCTCTGCGCTCGTCTCTTTGCGAACCAAGCTTTCCTCCTTCCTAGAATTTCTAAAAAGCGGGGCCTGGCGGAGAATTCGGCTTCAGCTTCCCCATACTAGTTCATGCAACCGTTTCGCTAATTCAACAAGCATTTATTGATTAACTGCTCTATTCAGGACGGTCTATAAATCTCGATATTTATAGAGAACTTTAGAGTGAATGAAAAATATGCAGGTCGGAAGGACTCGCTAATGTTGCCACTTGAGAGCCAAACAGACTTTATGAGGTGGAGAAGAGGGGTCCCCTGCTGGAGGGGCAGGGGTGACGTCCCTTGAGGTCTGCCTTCTTGAATTGCATAAAAGAAATGGGCTTCTGCCAGAGTAATTTATTTTTATTCGACGTAAATCAGAATCTTTTATTTATTTTTTTAATTTAATGATTAACCTGCTCTGTTTTGCTTGGGGTTCCTTTTGGTTCTAAAATGTTCCTGTCAAACAATGGTCGGTTAAAACCCCATTTGGAGTTTGTCATGTGAAGCCTTGCAACTTCAAATTCTAAACTTTGCAGGTGACTTTTAACCAAAGGGGGATTCAGCGTAGCCTGACTGTAGCCTGCGCGTTCTATTTTGTTATAGTTTTACAGAATAACTCTAATGTACGTTTTTGTTTGGATCCTGAGAACATCAAAGCGCTGCGTATTTTTGTGTTGCTAAGCCTCTGGAACCTCCGAATCACATTGATTTGTTTGCTGACTTAATATTGACTAATTTGAGTTGGTGATTGCTTTGGACTCTTGCATTTCCAGAGAAAAAAGAAGTTAAATACAGTTTGTTGATTTTATTTAAGCAACAGTACTGTCTGTGCCTGTGACTTCAGTTCATCTGATAGGTGCTCTTTTTCAGGCAAAACCCTACCAAAGTGATTTTGAGATGCCCGGGTGATGAATTCTTTCCTTTTCCTTTTCAGAATGAAGACCTAAATGACCTCAGCCAATCCTCCTCTTACTCATGGGTACCCGGACTCGAACTGTTTCACGATTCACAACCAGGACCTCACATCTTCCTCCTCAGTAGATGGTACGAAGCACCCATTTCAGTTTGTTTACTTTACAAATCCTCAGGACTCCGTTGACTGAACTGCACGTTCTTTATTGTGCCAAGCAAAAAAAAAAAAAGAAAAGAAAAAGGAAAAAAAAAAAAAAGCACTGTGATACCAGGACAATGAGTCTGCGTCAACTTCACCTTCCACCTAAGGACTTAACTGGCCACATGAGCTGATGTGCCCACGGCTACAAGAGAATGGGTTTCCTCTCATCGCATCTACAGGATACATTTCATCTGCTGCTGAAACTGTGTGCGACGAAGCATCATGTAAATTATTTCACACAAAACGGTTCACTTTGGGTGGAGAGAGTATTAAATATTTAACATAGGTTTTGATTTATATGTGTAATTTTTTTTTAATTAAAATGTAACTTTTCTTACAGCGCACATTTTTTTTTTGGATGTGGAACTGAGGTTTGCAATGTTCTGTTGTAAAGAGTGGAGCAAATGCTTAAAACAAGGCTGACGAGAGTAGGCTAGGGTACGACCCTTGTTTTAAGATTGCAATTCAGAAAAAAAATAATATAAGAATCATAGTGCCATAGGTGGTTCGCAATTGTATAGTTCTATTTGCTGATACTATCTCTTGTAATATAGCCCTGGTGTTGAGCTGAGATCCTTACAAGAATTGCTCTTACTTTTGTATTTTTTCCTGTAAGGCAATAGGCCGTGTTAATTGAACTGAAGAAGGGTATAGTCTACTGGGTATTTTCAAGTGTCAGCGTACAATTGGCAATTGAATGGAAGCAAAATGATCAGAAAAGGAAATCAAAGTCTTCCATTGTACATACTGTACAGAGAAGGAGACACGGGGGATCCCTTCCAATCAAAAGCTCTCTTTGGAATGGACAATGTGGGTGTTTGTAAATTCTGGAAATTTCTGTCTATTCATAATAAACTAGAGACTGTTGATCTTTTCTTCTCCCCTCCCCCACTCTGTCAGCCGCTTGTCCCGTAGCCGCCGTCTCCTCCGTGCACACCTCAGGGTGCTTCCCTTCCTGCCCTGTCTCGAGAAAGACGCGAAGACAAGCGACCGCGCATCTTTCATTTCTAACCAGAAATTAAAATTCCAGAAAGTAGGTTTATTTTGTTTGTTGTTTTGTTTTCATCATGACCAGGGCTACGTGTCACTTTCATTAAGAGCTTATCTTATGTTTTCTGAGCACTTTCAGTGCCCAGGATTTAACTGAATGTGATCTGGCCCGTGTGCCCTGGTGGACACTGCCTATTAGCGATTACGTAGTAGAAGCCAGTGTACCTAGTGCCCATCCAAGCTAATTCACGAGCAGCTATTGAAATGTCCAGCCAGCAGTGAACAGGTTAAACCTCTTCTTCTTTGGAGAGTCCTCACATTGTGGAGCGTTTCCTTGTGACAAAGAAGTGGCTGTGGACATACGTAAAGATACTGCCAACAGAGTCTTTAACCTTTTTACCAGGGAACGTTCTCTATGTTGAGTGAATTAATGCCAGTATCGGGCTCCCTGGGAGTCTGTGCAAACGCCGAAATTTGCAGCCTTACTGTTGAAGGAGCAACAAGTTATCATTCGGAAGAGCTGTGCTCCCTGGGCCGGGGTCGGGCTAAAGGAAGGGGCTGGGGTTGGAGGTGCAGTGAGTGGCTGCTGCCCCTCGTCACCTGGCCGGGGACCCCTGCTGTACTCAAACGAGGGGAAGGTAAACGGAACCCCTCACACTGCTGAGGCCTGTGTTACTGTAAATGTAACCGGATGGCATGTACCTCACAGACTGGTACAAAGTTCAAAGTGTTCATTGTTGCAGATTCTAAACGTTTGCACGCTCATCAGTTTCAAAGATAAATAGGTCTGCAGTCATAAGAATCCATTGTTTTCAAGGCATTTGCTGAATTACATCATTTCCTATTAGGAGAGAACACTCAATTATAAAAACCTGATATGAATGTTTATTTTTTTATTTTAAGTTTTTACTCTTTTATGAAAAACACTTTATTGGTCAGACTAACTTTCATTCTTCCAAGTGTCCTGACTCACACTCTTGCTAGTAATGGAGGCGACACACAGGATGTCATGCTCTCTTCCAGACAGAAATCAGTGGACAAAGTCAGTCCCGATCTTTTTCCTGTCAAGCTGCTGATTATTTCTCAAGGAACCTAAACTCTGAATGACTAGTACTGAGGTACCTCTGCATGCAGAACCATCAGTGTGTCTTGGGTGAGAACAGAAATAAGCAGACTGGAAAACCCATCTCTTGGTTTCTAGTTCTCGGAGGTGTTGTTCAGTTAAATAGCATAAAGGTAGACATTCTTATTTAAGCTGCTTCTTGTGGTCCCTGAGCTGGGTTTGACGATGGTATCAAACTTCACTGACTTAAAACTGGAAGTTGCTGGTATTTGAGGCGGAGAAACTCATGCCCCAGCTACGGAAGGGGTTGATCTGGAGCAGCATCAGCTGCTGAGTCTGTGAGTTCAGTTTCTGTTGGTGAGACTTGGCTTTTCTATCCATTTCAAAGTATTTGTAGGCCAGCCAAGGGCTTACATTAATGGGGATTCGAGTGGCCTCTGGTTAACCTATAAGTTCTTGGCTTTTTCTTCACGAGACCAGCCTTTTGTGGCATTTGTTTTTAGAGACTTGGGCAGAGTTTAAAATTTTTTCCTTTGTGGAAAGAACAAATAATTTCATGACTTTGATGATATCTTCATTCTGGGCAAAAAAAAAAAAAAAAAAAAAAAAAGTTCCTAGAACTAGAACCAGCTAGAAGTGAATCCATTAATGATCAACCAACTGCCTAAGTCAATAATGACAAATCAGTACTGATGTTACGTTGGTGACTATTTCTTGCTCACTTTCAAAGGTCAGGGACTCTCTTGACTATCTAGGTTGACTGCAAAAATGGATTTACTAAAAATCATCGAGCCAGAGGTAGAGATTTTTAACTTTTCCTTCCCTGACTGTTGTCTCCTAGTGAGCTATCCTTTAAATTTGAGACCAAGTATTAAGAAACAACCTTACTACACTGTAAGAAACAGGATGGTGCAACCCCGAAGCCCCTGTTTTGTTCCTGAATGCAATATGCCACACAGTTGAAAATTTTAGTTTTATTTATGACAGGTGGTTTAAAGATGGGGGAGGGGAGCTCATTGTCCATGGACATAAGAGAGCCGTGAAAAATGGAATTGATGTGGAGTGCCCCGTCCGCTTCGGCAGGGTTCTGGGGGCCAGCCCATCACACGAGGAGGCGTTGAAACCCCGGACCCTGGGGGAATTAAGACCTTGATTGAGGAGACAGAACTGTTTGGAAGGCACGTGAAGGAGAATGGATGGAAGCCAACTATGAAATCGCTTCTTCGCAACGACTCGACAGGGGAGCCGAGTGTTCCCAGGACATGGTGAATGTTAGTTGGTGGTGGTGTTGCATTCATAGAGGCTGCTGGGGAGCTGGAGAGGAAGAAGCATGTGCTGCTAGGGATATGAAGACATGTGACCTTGCCAGTGCTAGGGAAAGACTAGTCTGCGATCCGCCATGGAGAGCCGAAACCACCTTCTTGGAGTTGGCAGAACAGGAAGGGTTGAAACTGGTGCCTGTGTCATTTCCAAAGCCAAGACAGAGAAAACCTTAGAGGCCCTCCCGTGGCTCCATGGTCAGTCTCCCCAGTGTAGACAGAGAGAGTGTGCGTCGGATGGCACGTTGGGGTGTCCCTCGCGCTTGGGAGCCAGAGCATCACGTTAGTGCTGGGAGGAGGTAGAAGGATACTGAAGATGTTGGACCCTACTCTCGAGGACTTTCAGTAAGAAGGGGCTTAGTATCAGCTTTTAAGATGAGAAAAAGTATGTCTTTGCTGGGGAGTTGTCTTCCCTTCCTGGTTTGTTGACAACTGGGCACCTGTGATGTATATACCAACAGATCGGGTGTTCCAGACGGTTGCCACTCACCCTGCCTTTCAGTGTCTCTCTTTGCCGGAGTGTTCATTTCCCCAGTGTGAACCAATATGCCGCAGGATAGAACAGATTTGGTAAACAGGAAAACTTGTCTGTATTTGTATAGACATTTTTAGTGCTGACTTTTGTGGGGTTTTTTTTTAAGACCTTTTCTATTGGATTAAGAATGTCGTCCCTGGAACAGTCTTTCTTGCAAAGCTCTTTCTTCGCACCTCTTGGCTACAGGGTGGGCCAAATGAAATACATATATATTTTTTCATTTAATGTATGTGCAGTTCGGTTTATCATCCTCAGATGGTGGTGCTGCTGATGGTGCTACTTCATCTGTGTACAAAAGGACCAACACGTGGTCTGTATCGCTACCAAAACATTTATTGTGTATATGTGTATAACATGTATTATGTATATATGTAACGGGTACCAGGCCAGGTATATATTTTTATTTAGAAGTGTTTCACTTTTTCAAGTTTTCTTTATAGTGTTATGCTTATTTTCAGTCCCCCCCCCCACCCCCCGATTCTGTCTGGTACTTAGAACTGTAGTGTCTTCATCATTAATTAAAGAAAACTGTCTAAATGAATTCACGGATGTGAATGCTACTGATCCTTAATGTCTTTGATTATGGGACATAAAACAGAAACTGCCAATTAAGGTTTGCTGGGGCGTGTGACTGGGTCAGAGCAGTGTACACCGTTTAACATACTTTAATAAATGATTTTGAAACAGAGAGGTTGGCTTCAACTTATCCCTCTCCAGTTGGCTTTCAGTGGCCAAGGGTATGAAGAAATTGACCTTGGAAGATGTGTGAAGCTACTCCAGTTGCTGTGCTGCAGCGGGAAGGGGCTGGGTGGAAAGACATTTTCTGTTGAGAGGCACCGGAACAGCCTTGTGGGCCAAGAGTGCAGAGTCCCCGAGTTCTTCAGAGGCAGATTGGCACTGGGGTGGGCGGGGCCTACCTTTCTCAGCAGCTCCCAGGGCTCCAGCTCTCACCCTGGTCTGCCATCAGCTGATGGCAGCGGGCAGCGAGGCAGGGTGGCGTTTCTCCGCCTGGCCACACGGCCACATCATCTGGGCAGCTTTTAAGTCACTCAGCGGCCAGGTGGCTCCCGAGTA